CAACTGTTGTTGTTGGAGAGGCAACAGTCAGGTTTTTTTTTAGTTTTGGCTTTGACGGTCAACAAAAATGTCTTTTATATTAAACAGATTGTCCAGTTTTCTGTGAAATCCACAAGATTCAAGGGTTTATTTTGGGTTTTGAAATTAGCTCCACAAATATAATGCAACTGAAAAATATTTGTGTTTGTTAGAAAAGCTGAAATAAGAGGTTACAAATGGATTTGAGAGATCAGAGCTTTTTCCGTTGCTGCCCCAACCTTCTCTCCCACAACACGTCTGTGATGTATACTCACTGCAAAAGTTCAAAAAAGCACTAAAAACTCACGTATTCAGCCAAGCATTCAAATAACAGTAACCTATTCTCATTGTGTTTGTCTTGTCTGTCTCTTTGTTGTACAGCGTCTTTGAGTTGTTGGGAAAAGTGCTTTATAAAACTTATGTATTATTATTATTATTATTATTATTATTATTATTATTATTATTATTATTATTATTATATGAAATGTACAGTCTGTATATTGGTCTTGTTTTTATTGTTTTTAGTCATAGTTTAGACCAGGGGTGTCAAACTCAAATTCACACTGGGCCGTAATGATAATCTGGGACGAAGTTGCAGGCCAAACTTAAATTTTTTTGAAAAAGCGATGGCAAATCTGCACTTTTTATTAAAAATAAAAACTACAGCAGCCACAGTCATGCTGGTTTGAGCGTGTCGCTGCTCGCTGGAGTTATATCAGCTCTGTTTGGAATTTAGTTGGAAAACTTTCTCTTTCAGTCGTGAACACATTACTGAGCGGTTAAAATCTCCGTTTCTGGGCTTCAACGTCGGAAAATAGCTGAGTGAACTCGGCGCTGAGTGAGAGGAGTGTTTAGTTTGTCCGAGACAGGGGAGCTGCAGACAGCGGCAGCAGACGCTGGAAAAAACACAAAGGAGGGGGCGCTTCGGCTCCACGCTAACGCCGCAAAGCATCAGAGGAGTAGTAATCTTTGCGGTAAAATCGGCCAGCGGGTCAGTTTTTATATATTTTTGATATTTATCTCACGGGCCACATAAAAATGCGCCCCGGGCCTTGTGTCTGACACATGTGTTTTAGAGGGATCAACTGGTAATGTTTCAGGTTGCAAGCCCTTATCATTTTGTGTCTTAATAGCTGAAAAGTTTAGAAACCATTCCTGCAGTCCCCCTTTTACGTTTAAGGCCTGCCATGTCTGACCGGCATCCTCCCCCACCATTGAAGCCAACCCACCACCAGGTAGTGGTCAGTTGACCGCTCTGTCCCTCTCTTTACCTGATTGTCCAAGACACGTGGCCGCAGATCAGATAAAACAACAGTCGATCATCACACTGCAGCCGTAAGTATTTGTGCTGCCAAAAGCACAAATGAACACCTTTACGTCTGAACATGATGAGCACAGAAGTCCAATAACAAAACACTGCTTAAATTCACATAAGTTCTTTCCCAACACACTTCTCCAGGTCTCGCTGTCATTGCCCACGTGAGCCCCCCAGCAAATAAAAGCTGTGATGTTGTTCTTTAGTCAGCGACCTGCATTGCCAGCTATCCCAAATGTCCCAGCAATCTGCAGCCAGACACAGTAAATGGAGACGATTTCAGTCTCTGTCAATTGAGTGCCAATACAGTGGAGCCCTGTCTGTGTGTGGGAGTGCACACACTTGTTCTGGAAGCACATGCGTTTGTGTGCATTATAGTGTGTGTTGGCACTCTGGGACAAAGAGAGCATTATTCATGCAGTGTTGGGGAAAGAGGGCATGTAAAATACTGCAACACTTATCCTCTGGAGCAGTCATACCCACAAGCCCCTTTCCTAGGTCATATGAGGATCAGCACCGTCAGGGGGCAAGATGTGGGAGCTGCCCTGAGGATTATCAACACACTCAAATTTAAAAATGGTGTATTAATTAAGGTCAAATAGAAGATTGTTTTTGCTAGTTTAGCCTGGCTTCTTCTAGTTCAAGCCCAGTTCATTTGTCAGAAGTAGCACATTTAGGTGGGGTTCATCGGGAGCTGTATTTACAAATGTTCATGTTAGTAAATATTAAAGGTGCAATCTTGGCCTTTCTGTCTTATTTGGGAGTTGGAGACCTGTAACAGCCCCCTGATGTTGAAGAAACAATGCCCCTTAGTGAGTGGCCTCAGTATACGTTTTAAATACGAATCAAGTGCTCTGAATTGATAAGAACTTTGAGCCTTTGGGCTGAGTCATTTTAGTCCTTCAATGAACAGATTGTTTAAAAATATTCTTTGACAAATAATTCACATAGACAACTTAACTTAAGACCATTGTTAAAATGTCCAGTGACGTGTGTGAACGAGAGATCTGCTGATGATCAGATGCCCAGGTGACGCTCGTTTGTTTGCAGATAGCAGCAGAGCCAGAGAAGCCACCGCAGGGCTTCTCCACGGAGAGCTGCTGCATCACAAGACTCCACGATTACAGGCCTCAGACAACTCAGCTGATTAGCTGAAACATCAGCACAGATCGGCAGAACAAATGATCAACATTCACTTATTTTATGTTCTTAATTTGTTGCCATTTCACATTTGTTTCAGCTCCGCAACAGTCCTGGTAGGTTCAGGAACAAAGCAGATGGACATCTTTGCTATCTTGAAGATATCTTGAAGACATTTCACTTTTTATTCATTTTATTTTATTTTATATTTTTATTTATCCAGATGAGTCAATTGAGAACTCATTCTCATTTACAAAGACGATCTGGCCAAGAGGTGGCAGCAACAGATTCATAGTTAGCTTTCTATCAAAGAAAAACAGATGAGATAAAACATACAAGATCAAAATAAGATAAAACATTTGGACATAAAGACAACGGACTGTTCTCATTCACAATATGTAAGCGCAATCAAAACAGACTTAAAACAGTCTGAAGTACTCAGAATCAGGCACATTCATCAGAAACTATTGATTGCAATGAAAAATTGAAGGTAGACAATAACTGGCAGGTAGTGAGCTTTAGTGATTTTTTTTGCAGCTCATTCCAGTTGTTGGAAGCAGAAAACTGGAATGAGGAGCGGCCAAAGGAGGTGCGAGCTTTGGGAATAACCATGGAGATGAAGTTACTGTAACAAATTGTGCTGGTTGTTGGAAGTGATGAGTAATGAGCGAAGATATGATGGGTTCTACCGGTGATTGTTTTGTATATGAACTGATACCAATGTAGCAACCTGCGGTAATGGAGTGATGGCCAGTTAACGGGGGAGTAAAGGTCACAAAGATGAGTAGTGAAAGGGTCACCAGTGACTAAATGGATTGCTGAGTGGTTAATGACATTCAAAAGGTTTTGTGAATCAAATACAAAATAACAAATAACTTGAGGGAGATTTTTGGTAATGCAGACTAGTTCGTAAATCAAACTGGAGCATCGTTTGTGTGCGAGAGGGAGGGAAACATAGGCCAATTTGCTGGCTTACTGAAACAACAGTAAGGGATGCATCATATTAACAGTACGCGGACATGAAAGCACAACTTCTCTTCTTTCAAAAAACATTTGAATGTTTCTGATGAACCATTGCAGAGGTAAATCTACGTAATCGCATGCAATTTCTGCCAGAAAATAAATCAGTCAACTTTTTCTAAAATTGTTCAACCCTACTTAAAACAATATCTCACAAACTGCTGAACAGAGTAGGATGACACTGTAATCAATGGATGAACAATTGCATTTCTGAAGTCAAGCCTTTCAAGATGGCCGCCATTGGCAGCTAACCTTCCCTGTCGCAGAAGTAGAAGCTGTGGCAGTATTTACATTTTCAGTTAGAAGCAGGGCCTTGCAGCACGTTAACCACACAAATGGGGAAAGGGAAATAGATTTGTAAAGTAAATCTGATGATATTTTTAAAAATGGTGTCACTGCTCAGCCCAGACGTGACTGATTAGTAACAGTTTTATCTGCGTCATCATGAATTAGCTTTAAACCATGTGCACTCAGTAAAAAGTCTGACCAATCTGCTTCAGTCCCACGGGTTCCTGGTGCTCATTGAAACATTCTTTATAATAACTGTAATAGCATTCCACACAGTGATTTTAATGGTAACAGTTGTTGATGCTTGTCTGGAGCTTGGCCCTTGGCTGCTTTGATATGGAACTCAAATGTTAAATAAAACATGGTGAAATATTCTTACCTGAATAAACGAATGGCATTGCACAATAACTGAACGGCTGTAGAATCGTTTTCTTTCTCTCATGAAAATTGTGATTATAAATATTATACACGTTTTTTATTCTTGCTGTGGGTTTTTCTTCAGTAGAAAAGACATTGTTAAAGCATTTTCTGTTGTTGGTGACAATTTGCAAACTCCATTTGTGAGAAAGTTTGCCAATTGTCTCAAAACGTTTCTGAAGGCTTCCTAATATTCTTGTTAGTTGCAGAGCCTCTCTGGTGTGTTGCTGGGGTCCTGAATGTTTCTAAAAACTGAATTGGACACAGATAAGTTGTTTGAACAAAAACTAAAAAGCCATCTTTGTCGAAATAAAAATAAACATGTTTGAGGTTTTGGCAGTTTGTCAAAAAACATCTAGAATGTGGATCGGCAAACACAGACCGTAATGACCCTCGGGGTAAATGACCCACATCCACAAACATCTCACTACACTTTAAAAGTTATTTTGTACTTTTCTGCTTGAATTAGGAAAACTCTTAAGAGGAGGGGGACATGTCTTAAAGACACGTTCCTCATCCTGAACCTACTGGGAATGACATGCAGTTCTGAGTTGTTGCAAGTGTCTGCAACACATGTTGAACCCTTCTTGCCTGCCAAACTAGTTTCTACAGGTCAGAAGTTTTAGTAAACTTTGAAGTTAAGTTATAAACCCTACATGAACAATTTCTAGCTTAAGTATCCTATGTTCCAATTCAGCTCAGTTCCAATTAAAGATGTCTATTTGGAGTGTCCTGTGTTTATTAGTTGCTTCTACCATGTACTCACTATGATAATGTGTGTTTCTGCTGTGTTTGTCCACAGAGATACATTACCTTAGAAGATTCCCAGGATGGAGAGAAAAAGGACCTGCAGAGTCGACTGGTGACGCTCGAGTCTCACTCACGACAACTAGAGCTAAAAACTAAAAACTATGCTGACCAGAGTGAGTCCACTATCCATATCTGTCTGTTGGACTGGGAGACCCCACACACACACACACCCGGCCCACCAGACCTTTCCACCTGACACCCCCTCCCCCGGGCCCTAATGTATACCAATTCAGGGGATTTAACGTTTAGTAGCAAAATTCATGTCCCAAATATCAATAAATATTGTCAAGCTGCACCTCTAAACACTCTGCAGAAACTTTGCTACATCATTTAGATCTTTTTTTACGATCTCCAAACACAACTAAAACTACAGTGGAAAGAGTGGCAATAAATCCCGCTTCATGTGAGGGTTTTTGCCACATTTCTGTCTCTAACTGCTAAAATTGAGATTGACCATTGAATCACAGAGATGGAAGGCTTCATAATGAAGCTGGATTAGCTCCAGCCAAGGTGTCTCGGGGCAGTTTTTCAATATTTTCCAATGTTTTCTAAAATCTCTAACTGGTTAATGACGCCCCTTAACAGTTAATAACCAGTTTGCTGGAAACCAACACCCCACCACCCCCACCCCAATGCACACAAACATTTGCCCTCGCTCTATAAATAACGCTTTTTATGTCTATTCTTATATATATATATATATATATATAATTCTGACTCACAAGTAAAGAAGAGCAAGTGGGATGACAGATGAAATGCCCATCAGACTCAGAAGTTGCTGCGCAGCGGACCATCTGGCATCAAATACACAGCGCTGCTTGTGATTGCATGCTTGTAAGGTCATTCTGGAGGCCACGCTTTTTTAAATAAATACTTTAGTTTTCTTACATTGAACTAATCAAACTCTTGGACGCCTGCCTGGTGAGGTTTTCTGGGCACGTCCCACCGGGGCGACATCCACAGGAAGACCCAGGACAGGCTGGAGGGACCATGTCTCTCGGCTGGCCAGGGAACTCCTTGGGATCCCCCCGGAAGAGCTGGCCCAAGTGGCTGGGGAGAGGGAAGTCTGGGCCTCGACTTAGGCCAGGGGTCGGCAACCTGTTCCCATCAAAGAGCCATTATTACCCGTTTCCCACAGTGAAGAAAACACTGGGAGCCCCAGCAGCTGTGGCGTTGTGGGCGGGGCCTACCCTCAGACAGCAGAGAGCTGCTTTAACCAATCACAACAGGTGACAGCAGCCGGTACCGGTCGCTCGTGTACGTCAAAGTTATATTTCATAAAAAAGATAATCAATAAAACGATTTATATAAAGTGGATCCAGAAGTTGTAGCCCGTCTCTGCCTACAATATTTTGATATTTTTCACCCTGTTGGTGGTTTTACTGAGCAGGTGCCACTTTTGTCCTACGTTTCTTTTTAAAACATGTTTAGACTGTTCAGAATACAAATCCAGGCTCTGTCACGTTTGATTGTTGTAATTAAACTTTGTAGGTGGGGAAGGTCAGAAAAGGATCCGATCATTTTGTTTTCCCCTCATTTACAGTGAGGGAGACAACGGCGCAGTACGCCTAGCTCTGGTGTTAATAAAGTTAAATTATATCTCTTAGCAACAATTTAATTTAATTTCCTTTTATTTTTTTAGCATCAACCAATACATAAACAAAACATAGAAATTGCATATTCTTCATAATAATATTAGTGATGAGTGATGATAATAAACAACAAAGTTGTAAGTGTAATTTTTTTTCTTTGTGTGTGTGTGTGGGGGGGGGGGTCACAGGGGGTTCTCGCACAGGGCGCCATTTAGGCTAGCTCCGCCTCTGCCTGAAGTGTCTGTATATAAAATAGATATATAAAATTATTTTAAAAAATTATGATAAAATAATAATTTCACTTTAATATAGATGAGAATCTGGTCCTCTCGATGTCTGCTGGAAAAAACTCAGGGCACTTGAACACGTTTATTTGAAGACCCCTGCACAAGGGGGTGAAAGCAGCAAGACAGAGTATTTTCTTATCTCATGGCGCCATCTAGTGGCTGATAAGCATATCACACCAAGAGTCGGTCGAGCCGTTTTATTAAGATGGCAACTTTACGTTTCTTGTTTAAATGTGCTTCTGTAGCCAACAAACAGAGCTAAAACACGTTTTACAAGTATTATTCTCATGTCATGTTGTGTTTTCATATATTTATATTTTAAAGACTTGTCAGTGAAACGTTCTTCAACTCTGCATCAGCCGATGTACTGCCTTAAATTTGAAGCACGTAAGTAGTAGTCAAATGCTATTGGTTAGTTCTGGTCGGCGCTCAGCTTCCTATTCCTATCTGTGGGGCTGGGGGCGTGCTTAGCAAAACCGAGGTATTGTTTACATTATATCACATTATTTCTGAAAAATCATACATTATTTCTGAAAGGAGAAAACTCTGGATTGCTGCTTTAATGTGACAAATTAATAATTAGTGATTGATAAAGCAACACTTAATAAGTTTCACTCCTCTCTCACCTACTGGTTGAAAGTGGAATTACAACGATTATAATCAACCTTGCCACAGCCTGCTGTTGCTAGTGCTAACAACAAGCTAATGCTAACAATACTAAAATAAGCCTAGAAGGAAAAATGTCTACACAGGTGGACAAAAGTGTGTGTGTGTGTGTGTGTGTGTGTGTGTGTGTGTGTGTGTGTGTGTGTGTGTGTGTGTGTGTGTGTGTGTGTGTGTGTGTGTGTGTGTGTGTGTGTGTGTGTGTGTGTGTGTGTGTGTGTGTGTGTGTGTGTGTGTGTGTGTGTGTGTGTGTGTGTGTGTGGGACAGTACCTCAGCACCCGCTGTTAACTTTCAGATTTCTCTCATGAACAGCTGTGGGTGGGTGGGTGTGTGTGTGGGGGGTTCTTTAGGGATCACTTTGTTTTTTCTGCATGTCATATCAGTTATTTCTATTCTACCTTTTGTCTCTACTTCCTCAAAAGCAGACTGTTAACAGTCTTCATACTTGCAGCTGTTAGGGGTGTAGCTTTGGTCCAGGCTTCTGTGAATGATCCAGATCAGCTCTCATACACACCCTCCATAACAGACGATCGTTGCACTCATACGGCTGCTTTCTAAATGACGCCAGCCACCACTGTTACAATGGTTTTACCTCCACACACAGTCAGGGTGCCTCAGTACTTCCAGCAGAGGAATTAGTAAGGTAATGATCTGTTATTACTAAGGTCCTACTCTTCTCTTTCTCACCTCTAAGATGATGTTTGTTGTTTTGCTGGCACCTCCCTGTCTCTCTGACCTGCTCACTCCATATGTACCCACGCGCACGTTGAGGTCGGCTGACCTTTTGCTGCTGTGTACGCCGTGGATGCGATACAAATCGCGGGGTGAACGAGCATTTGTGCACGCTGCCCCAAAGCTGTGGAACTCATTGCCCATTGGAGTTCGGCAGGCTCCATCACTGGCGGTTTTTAAATCTCGTTTAAAGACCCACGTCTACGATTTGGCTTTTAGACAGTGACTCGTTTTAGTGTTTTACTGTGTCATTGTTTTAATGTGTTCTTTGTATTCATCATGTTTTATCTGCTTTGACTGGTATTTTTATCCTCTGTTTTAGTTCCTTAGAATGGTCGCGTTTTGTTTTAGCCTGTGCAGCACTTTGGGCAGCTCCCATGCTGCCTTTTAAACGTGCTATATAAATAAACTATGCTATGGTATGGGATGGTTTGGTTTGGCACAGAAATATGAGTGTAGGTTTGTTGTTTAAAGAAAGAACTTGGATAAATATTTAAAACCTGTTCAGGTTCAAGGCCACATGATCGGTAAAACGCTAGAGATTCTGTATTTAGCAGAATTTAGGTTTAAACAGGGAAATAGTCCAGTTGATCAGAAGTTTGTGGACAATTTTAGTAATGCATTGTCGCCCTCTAAGGGCTCACAGATGCTACTGCAGCTGCATGCCTCTTTCCAGTGGGACCAACCCTGACCTGCATGTTTTGGAGGTTTCCCTGCTCCAACACACCTGGTTTCAATCAGCAGGTGATTAACAAGCTTCTGCAGAGCTTGATGAGCTGCTGAACTGGTGATGCAAACATTGGATCAGGTGTGTTGGAGCTGAGAAACGACTAAAACATGCTGGATAGGAGATCTCCGGGACCAGAGATGGAGAGCTCTGTCTTGTATATTGCTCTTTGTTTTTATTGTTTTCAGTAAGTTATTATTATTTGTTTATTGTCTCTTCTGTTCCTGTCTCCTGCAGTAAGCAGATTTGAGGAGAGAGAAGCAGACCTAAAGAAGGAGTACAATGCTCTTCATCAGAGACACACAGAGGTAGGCTCATCTGGTGTGTTTGGGATGAAGGACAGCATCTTAATCTCTGGGTTAATGGCAGAGATGGATGAAGGTTTTTCTTATTTCATTTGCGTTTTTTGTTGTATGTTAACACATTTCTTTACCCCCCCCCCCCCCCCCCCCCCCCCCAGAGCCAAGTAAAACAGTTTTATCTGGGCTGGTTTATTCCTCTACATGGAATCAATATTTGTTGTATATTTCAAAATCTGAAAGTGTTCCTCTGACGTTGCGTCCAGAATAATTCATCTGAGGAGAGACCCCCCCCCCCCCCCCAGCTCTAATTTTAGAGGGTTTCTCAACTCGATAAAAAATGACTTTAGCTTTGACCGGAATATTCACCATCCTGTTAGATTATCCTTAAGCTAGCAGATCCTGGATTAGCTGTGATGTTTGCTGTAGGCGGAGTGAGATGGAGACAGCAGAGGTCTGAATAAGAATAATTTTGCTGCTGGTCGCACCCCTGCCCCTAGGAATTACTCATCTCTAACCCACCACAGGATGAAAGCCATCACCTGAGCGCTTTTCCTTCTTTAGTCACAGCTGTGCCTGAAACGACCTTTGTAGTGACAGTTAGAGATGTTGTGGTCCACTTACTGGTGCCGGTTTTTCAGATGATCCACAGCTACATGGAGCATCTGGAGCGGACGAAGCACCAGCACGCAGCAGCACCAGCAGAGTCCTCAGATTCGGGCTCCTCAGCAAAACGACGGTGAGGTCATCCGCCTGGTTACTTAATTCTAGTGGTTCTCAATCATCTATCATTTTAAAAATGAGAAAAATGGAAAAGTGGTTTTATTATTAATGCTTTTTTTAAAACGCATAAAACAGGAAACGAATGTGGTGATGGGGTGGTGTTTAATTGTTTCATTGTGTAATTTAGTCTTGTGAACAGTGAATGAAATCATCTCAGCTGTAAATGTATGTGGTGTGTGTGTACATAACGTAAATTCAGCTTTAATAATTTTCATTCTATACAAAATATGCTGATTTTAGAAGCATTAATGTCAGTATATCGGTATCGGCAAATATTGGTTATCAGCCATAATAGTGATATCAACATCGGATATCAGTATCGGCCCAAAAATTTCATATCAGTGCATCACTAGTTAACATAAACATTTTTATAAAGTTTGTATTGGTACCACCTGAAGCAGACTGAACCCGGCCGTTCTTGAATTGTAGTCTATGCTAGGGCTGGACGATATAAGGAAAAAAGTATATTGATAAAAAATGTTTTATATTGATCGATATCGATAATTATTGAAAAATATTTTTAAAATTGTGGAAAATATTTTGCATGCACCCCTGGCCATTTTATTTTTGGTATTTTGATTCTTTTTCTGGCGGTTAGGGATGCTGTCAAGCTGAAGAAAGAGTCCTATCAGGTCTTTTTGGCCTGTGGGGCTCCAGAGGCAGCTGATGGGTACCACCAGTCCAAGCGGAACGCGGCTCGGGTGGTCGCCAAGGCAAAAACCCGGGCATGGGAGGAGTTCGGTGAGACCATGGAGGAAGACTTCCGTACGGCTTCGAGGAGATTCTGGTCCACCATCCAGCGCCTCGTGGGGGGAAAGCAGTGCGCTACCAACGCTATCTATATGGGGACGGTGTGCTGCTGACCTCTACTCAGGACGTTGTGGATCGGTGGGCAGAATACTTGGAAGACCTCCTCAATCCCACCGACACATCTTCCAGTGAGGAAGCAGAGTCTGGGGACTTTGGGTTGGCCTCTCAAATCTCTGGTGCTGAGGTCACTGAGGTGGTTAAAAAGCTCCTCTGTAGCAAAGCTCCAGGGTATGGATGAGGTCCGCCCGGAGTTCCTTAAGGCTCTGGATGTTGTGGGGCTGTATTGGCTGACGCGGCTCTGCTATATCACGTGGACATCGGGGGCCGTCCCACTGGACTGGCAGACCGGGGTGGTGGTCTCCTTATTTAAAAAGGGGGACCGCAGGGTGTGTTCCAACTACAGGGGGATCACGCTCCTGAGCCTTCCTGGTAAGGTCTATTCAAGGGTTCTGGAGAGGAGGGTCCATCAGATTGTTGAACCTCAGATTCAGGAGGAGCAATGTGGTTTTCATCCTGGCTGTGGAACACTGGACCAGCTCTATACCCTTAGGGGGATCCTGGAGGGTGCGTGGGAATTTGCCCAACCAGTCTACACGTGTTTTGTGGATTTGGAAAAGGCATTTTACCGCGTCCCTCGGGGGGCCCTGTGGGGGGTACTTCGGGAGTATGGGGTACCAGGCCCTCTGATACGGGCTGTTAGATCCCTGTATGACCGGTGTTAGAGCTGGGTCCGCATTGCCGGCAGTAAGTCGGGCTCGTTCCCAGTGAGAGTTGGACACCGCCAAGGCTGCCCTTTGTCACCGATTCTGTTCATAACCTTTATGGACAGGATTTCTAAGTGCAGCCAAGGTGTGGAGGGCATCCGTTTTGGTGGCCTGAGGATCAGGTCTCTGCTTTTTGCAGATGATGTGGTGCTGTTGGCTTCATCAGAACGTGATCTTCAGCTTTCGCTGGAGCGGTTCACAGCCGGTCTGTCGTGGTGAAGAGAGAGTTGAGTCAGAAGGCGAAGCTCTCGATTTACCGGTCGATCTACGTTCCTACTCTCACCTGATGGTCATGAGCTTTGGGTAGTGACCGAAAGAACGAGATCGTGGATACAAGTGGCCGTCATGAGTTTTCTCTGAAGAGTGGCTGGGCTCTCCCTTAGTGATAGGGTGAGTAGCTCGGTCATTCGGGAGGAGCTCGTAGTAGATTTGCTGCTCCTCCACACCGAGAGGAGCCAGTTGAGGTGGCTCGGGCATCTGGTCAGGATGCTTCCTGGACGCCTCCCTGGTGAGGTTTTCCGGGCACGTCCAACCGGGAGGAGACCTAAAGGTAGACCCAGGACACGGTGGAGGGACTATGTCTCTCACCTGTCCAGGGAACGCCTTGGGATTCCCCCGGAGGAGCTGGCCCAAGTGGCTGGGGAGAGGGAAGTCTGGGCCTCTCGACTTAGGCTACTGCCCCCGTGAACCGACTCTGGATAAGCGGATGAAAATGGATGGATGGAAGATTTTTTTTTCTCCGCCTCTTCTCACTGCAACATTTTTAGGGCTTCCGCAAACGACTATTTTAGTAGTCGACCAATCGCGTCATTTATAAAAGTTTAGCTTATTGCACCAGGAGGCTCTAACACACCATCATTAGCTTCTAGTGTGAAGTGTGATCAGCTATGGACCACCATCTAATAATAAAGACAAGATGATAGCTTATCAAACAACTTTAATTAACTTGTAACCTGTTGATACAAATGCTACAACCAGATGGAGCTAGGCACTTAAAACCAAAGAAAACTTGTGTTCACAAGAAGAAAAGAAGAAGAAAATATCATTTCTATAGCGCCTCTCAAGATAAAAATCACGAGGCGCTTCATCTTCCAGTCTTCACTCAGGAAATAGCAGGACACACCAAGGTACGCCTCTGCAGCACGGCTGGTCCACACGTCAGCAGTCAGGGACCATCGACAGCTCTGAGGGTCTGCTTTAGCATAAAGATAAAATATATTAAAGTTAGTTTATTTACCAGATTAATAATTCTGTTAAATATAGTAGATTAAGATTTAACACAAAGAAAATGTTCTATGATTTATAAATATTAGTTTCTTGATTGTTCAGTCAGCGACCTTTTTATTTTATCATAAATGCATTTTATTCTAATGTTGTATCCAGAGAGAAACTGACACACACACACACACACACACACACACACACACACACACACACACACACACACACCATAAAAGTTGTTTAACTCTACTTTTCCATGATGGTGGTGAAGTGGGACCAGCCTGGTTGATGTTTGTTGTCATATATATGTCTGTAAACTCCACTGTAACGTAGCAGGATGAGATAAATCGTTAGCGTTTGTAATTGGAGCAAAAATACGTGACATAAAAACGTGTTCTAAAGGTAACAACATCACCGTCTCTGCTGGTGTTGCTGCAGCTATAAATACAAGTAACTCTGTTGATGTTAGCAGCTAACAAGAGGTCAACTTACCGAGGCTCATGCATCGCTGATGTGCTCCTGTGAATGGAGAGTTTCGCTTTGCGGAGTTTGCACTACGTGGCTTTCTTTTGAATTAGTGTAATGCTCCTAAACTTTTCAGATATGTTGCGACCATCGACATATGCATATATGGACAATGGGTTTCCATAGACTCCAATAACACGTTTTTGAGGCTAAATGGGAGGTGGCCACCACCGGCATTTTGACCGTGTCACAGGTTCCGTCAAGCCCAGACAATTCCACACAAGGGAAGAGAGGTGGAGCTGAGGGTGGGGCTGTAAGGCTGGGATCAACTGATGACACCCAGTCGAACTAGCTACAAGGTAACCTGAAGCTAACCCAACGCTAACGTGGAGGTCGTAGCTAAGCTAACGGAGGCAGCAACCTAGCTACAACCGGAGTTAACTGTGCACAACACCAGAGCTTCTGAGTTAGAGATACGCCGGGCTGACCGCTGGGTAAAACTGGGTGGAACACAGAGGTCTCCGAGAGCTCCACAAGCCGGCAGCCACACAGCAGACAAGCGCCGCTGCGATCTGAGATGCGCAGAGCTGCCGCTGGGGAGAACCGGGTGGAAAGGTTTCCATCCCAGAGCTCCACAAGCCGGCAGCCCGCGCAGCAGACAGAAGCTGCGATCAGACAGAGATGCACCGAGCTGTGGGGAGGGGAGAACAGGTGGAAAACATCGGTCTCCCGAGAGCTCCACAAGCCGATAGTGGGAACCCAGCTCCACCAACATGTTATATTTCAACCCATTTTCTAAAGTGCAGCATTATGTTAAATGCACTGGGGTTTACCCTATTACATTTAAATTTCATGGTTAAACAGTACATGTTAAAATCTAAGCTCAGCTCGGCAGTGACCTAAAATACATAAATATAATTTCACTTACCGAAAAAAATGAAGTGGAGACTCCTTGGACGCTCTATTAGTGCAATTAATGCCACAGCAAGTCATTTTGTCCAACAATTGCACAAAAAATATCCAAAAAAGAATACACAAACACGGAGACTCAAAATCCCGGAGCCGTTTCCAAGCCAGACCGAGGCTCGACTGAGGCCTTTCCACGGAGCTAGCTCTGTGGTCACGTGGGTCTGATGCTCATTAATTATACAGAATTTTAGGCTTTTAATACACTTAAACAGAAGAGTGAGAAAATAATTCACCCCCCTCAGAGTTGTCATGAGTGTAAACTAGATCATTTAAACCTAAAACATGTTTTGGTACCAGGCTGTCAACATGTTTATTTCTGCTGTGAAATTGGTATTTTTAACATGGGAGTCGATGAGGATTTGCTCGCTTCTGACACCAGCCCCCAGTGGCTGAGGGTGGAACTGCAATTTTTGGTACTTCCGGGTTGAGACCAATTTTTCACCTGCATTGTGGGGGCTTGCTTGTGACTCGACTCTTTCTCCGATGATGGCTGAGCTGGATGGCAACCACTGCGCATGCGCCTCGGAGCTAAAGCGTGGCTGAGCAGAGAGGCAGGAAGCGAAAGCCGAACGTGCTGCAGCAGGCGAGATTTAAAAAACTGTTTATAAAATAAGGTCTGTTTTATTTGTCGGCATTGTCGTGAAGAGTCGACTAATCATGGTAGCCCTAGACATCTTGCTGCGGCTGCCTCTTGCTCCCTTTTGGTTTGAGGGACTGTTGACGTAGCGTGCTGAGTCTGTGGTTTTGATTGGTTAGGAGTAAGTAGTGAGTCTAGTATGCTGCTAGCTGACAGGTTATAATGAAAAAAGGAAACTTATTGAAGTTTTATCGACTAGTTTTTTATCTATCGCACCACATGTCTATTGATAGATATATTGAATCATCGTCCAGCCCTAGTCTATGCTGCACAGAATCACCCTGCAGACTACAGCCCGACAGATGACAACGGTCAAAACAGTCCCTGAGATGTGCTTTCTGTGGTTAGGAAATCAGTGTGTGTTTGTTAGAATGTAGCCTGTGGTCAACTTCTGGAGGAGTTCTGAACACACACACACACACACACACACACACACACACACACACACACACACACACACGCACACACACACACAGAGTACGCCTTCCTAAAGCACAGGTCCAAGAAGTGACAGAATTAATTTATCATGACCTTATAACTAAACACAGCAGTGAGAAGAAGGTCCGTGATTATTTCTATATTTGCACTCAAGCATCTCTCGGTACACATCACTGAGCTGCGGCCAGACGTGGAGGCATACGGAGCGAGCTGCCTCCGCATCCTAATGAGAGATGGAGAGAGAACCAGAGGGGAGGGGGCGGCTGGGCTGGCTGCTGTGACAGAGAGAGGGAAAGGGCGTCAGAGTTTTCTAGGCTGCGCAGCACCAGCTGCGTTGCGTTGTGGCAGCAGATCAGGAGGGTAAAGGAGGAAGTAGACGGAGTCAGCAGAGGCGAGCTGCTGCTCTGATCAGTCGGTGCTGCTGAAACCAGGATTACTGCTGCTAACATTGTTCTGCCTTTGACCCAATCCACTCGGCTCTGAGCTGCAGCATTCAGGACCCACAGATCTTTGCTAGAGGGATGTACGGTATCTTCTTTCTGCAGCTGATGTAGCTGCGTGATCCGGTCAGCCTCGCACCCTGACTCTTACTATTTTGATCAGCTGTGCTGTTCAAGCCCCCTGTCCTCGGTGAGGGCTACGATCTGGGGGGGCCATGAGCCCCGGGTGTATGCTGCTGTTTGTTTTTGGTTTTGTCGGGGGAGCAGTGGTCATCAACTCTGCGGTGCTGGTCTCTCTATCAGTCCTGCTGCTGGTTCATTACTCCGTCTCCACTGGAGGTTTACCTGCCCTGCCTCCCGTGCCCTCATTACCCAGACCTAACAGGTACAAGCTCTGCATGTGTGTGTGTGTGTGTTTTGTACCTTTGTAGCCATGTGGGTGTGTTGTCAGACAGCAGAAAATGGGTCAAGACAGATGTGTCTGAGTGACTCGAGTCATTTCTTGACTGCAGTTCCTTTATTATGTTGATCAGTCACTTTGTGAAAAAGGATTTCCTAAACATCATTTTAACAGGAAGACTTTATCATTTAATCATGTTTACCATCTGCAGCGGTGCAGACGCTGAACTGGTCTGTTGTGGTGGAGAAGGAGCGGAGCCGGAAAACGAAGCTCTTAGTTTACCGGACGGTCTTTGTCCCAACCCCCACCAGTGGTCATGAGCGTTGGTGACCATGAATACAAGTGAGCATCATGAAGGTGTCCAGGCTGGCCCTTAGAGGGTGAAGAGCCGGGACATCCAGGAGAGACTCCGTAGAGCTGCTGCTCCTCGTGGAGAGCAACCTGTTGAGGTGGTTTGGACATGTGGTGAGAAACCCTCCCAGGACGGGGGTTTCAGGCATGTCCTGCCAGCAGGAGGCCCCTGGGTGGACCCAGGACAGGCTGGAGGGTTTTAGGAGGGAGGTTTGTTGGCCAGTAAACGCTTTGGGATCCTGCCGGAGGAGCTGGTGGAGGTTGCCAGGGAGAGGACGGCTTGGGCCTCTCGGCTGGGGCTGTTGCCCCCCCCATAACCCGGATCCAGATAGGCAGATGAAAGCTGAATAGACAGACGGTTCAAACGGCACAGGCAGTGTCTGTGCCCATCGGTGGCCTTGGTTTGAACTGTTCCATTCAATATGGGGGTGTGTTCATTGTTTTTCTACTTGTCATCACTCTGCCAGCTCCTATTGTTCTGCCCCCTCTGGTTAGATTAGTGCAACAAATGCTGGTGTGTGCTGTGTTTAGTTTAGTGTTTGACTGCAGGACGTTTCTTCTTGTTGACCGCTACTGAAGGATAGGTGTTGCTGTTAAAGAGTTAATGAAACTGGACCAGCTTCGTTTTCCCTCCTGCTCTCTAAGTCCAAGAGAATGGCACCTCTCTGAGGTCTGTCTCCACACCGAGGATTTGTTTGGTTTAATTACATTAGGAGGACTTTCTGCCTCTGCGCTCTAGACAGCAGCAAGCTGTGAGGGATTTCTGGTTTTGTTCATCACTTCGTCTGCATTTTCTATAACCCTCATTATGGAAACTTGAAATGTAACACGCACCTTCATGGCTTTTAAAAACAAGTTTGAATTGTTCTGGATTTTCTCTTCAAGTGTCAGAATTACACATAATGTTCTCACACACACACACACACAGGGATATTTGATTCTTTGGACTGATGCATCTCAGCAAGTTTCACCTTGTCCAAATGTTTTTTGTTTGCATCAGGATGTTTTGTTGTATATTTCTGGCTGATGGTCTCTTTTCTGTTAAACTTGTTTCACTGGGTTGGTTTCCTGCCTTTTAACTGTTGTAAATTAATATTAAATCCATCTCAGAAGCTTAATGTCAACCTGCTTGATCCAGTCAGAAACCAGCTCTGATGTTTTGTTCATTGTCCTGTTGGTGCACCCAACTGGGTCCAAGTTTCAACCATGATGATCTCAGGCCCTCCTCCTCCACTTTGTGCACCAGAACCACATCATGATGCTGAAACCTCCATGCTTGATAGCTGCTTCTGTGTGTGAAAGCCCTCATCTCCACTCCTCCAGAAAGGCTTCTTGTCATTGTGGACAAACGGCTCCATTTTTGTCTTGTCAGACCATAAAACATAAGACATTCGTCTTGTCCATGTGGACAGCTACAGGTTTCAGTGTAGCTTTATTCCTTGTTTCTCTCTGTTTCCAGGAAGGAACGTCCCATCTCCATGGGCTTATTCCAGCTTCCTGGTGTTGATGGTGTAACCCCTGAACTAAACAAGGACCCTGCTGATCAGCCATCGGAACCGTGGAGGTTCAACAACCTCGGCCATCCACAGTCCAACACCAGCCTTAAGGTATGAGCCAACCCTGAAGGTGTGATAAAAGCTCTCTTCCAGAATAAGTGAAGGTAAATAGTGAATTCCCACAAACCCAAATGGTGACATCATCCAGCGATTATTTACAAAGAGAACATCTGATTACCGTCCAACTCAGAAGAACCAGTACACTTTTACTGGGATGAGAAGGGTTGTTCTATGTGATTGAATACTTAGCTGTGTGTGTGTGTGGGAGTGAGAGAGAGGTCCGGTGGCTTGGAGCCCAGCCTACAAGGGAAGTGGCACCATTCTGGGGCCCGTCCAGGGAGGAGGAGACTGTGTCTTTCATGTTGTTGCTGTTGGACATCAAGCCTCCATCATGAATATTAATGAGCAAAATAAAAGGTTTGCATTTGTAGTTTGGTCTGTAGCACAGCACCACGGGGTCTGACCGGGGCTTTGTGGGCTGACTGACATTTTCCCACAGTTCCTTACATTTAGGTTGGTCTTATTTCCCACTGCAGCGACACACACTCATTTCCCAAACATTCCCAATTACTATTCCATAGTGCATGTTAACCACTTCAATCCGCCTTCTTCATTGGTGCAGTGTTTTTTTTGGGGGGGGGGGGGGGGGGGGGGGGGGGGTATGGGGTTGGGTTCATTTTCATTGTAAAGAATAACTTGGTAATGAATATCTCTCTACAGAACATTCTTTAGTTTATAATAAAAGCTGAGGCTGCAAATGTGATGATGATCAGAGCCACAGCTGGAGAGCTTTCTTAGACAGAGGGATGTTGTGCTCCTACCTCACTGTCACCATAGCAACGATAGATGCCAGCATGTAATGTGAAAGGCAAAACTCCTGGGAGTGTGTGTGGGGGTGGGGGAGGGAGGGTCGGTGGACAGAAAGGAAGCAGCAATTAAGTTTGAGACCACAACGAAGGCAAAACACTGGTTTCACTGAGTGTTTGTATGTTTAAATGTTTTCAAGATGACTGATTGATGCAGATGCTTCGTCTTTGTCCTGGCTGAATCTTTTCCATTTACACTTTGCTATTTATAGACTGATGGTGATGAGGATTAACGGGAGATGATGATGCAGGGTTGGGATATTCCAGTGTCCCAACACAAGCTGTGGTGTATCCTGTTGCTGCTGTTATTGACACAATGAGCTCTCACCAATGAGTTTTGTCTCTTACCAGCTTTCAGCTAAAACATTCCCCTCTCCGCTCATCGTTTCAGCTGTTTGCAAGCTGCAGTAGCAAGTTAGGAAAATAAATTAGCCTAAAATATATTTTTCATGCCTCTCAGTGACTTTCTTACATAAATATACTTATAACAAATTATCAAAGTGGTTATCTCGCATTTATCTAAAAACCAACGTTTAGGACCAAAAGCAACCATCGGGCCATTCGGTTGTCAGTCTTGCCGAATCGCCGCACTTACCCGGGTCCTCCATTCGTTACACATACACTTATTTAGCAGCAGAACACCACTGGTGTGAGATTTTCTCTGCTCAATAATATCAGAAGGGGAAACAGCTGGCTGCTACCACTTCAACTGTAGGACAAACTACAAGAGTCCCAAAAAGAAAAACACCATTTGAAGTCACGGGCAGCAAAGGCGTTTGGACCTGGTGCTCTTTCGTTTCCTCTGGCATCGTGTTTTTCCGGTTCCAGTCGACACAAATCCAGGGCAGATACCCGAGGGTATAACCGCTTGAACAGCAATCTTATTCCAACACCTGATCACTCTTTGCCTGGCAACGCTCCATTTGCGGTTCTCAGTCGTGGGACGGGCTCTACTGTTGTTTTTCAAACGACCTCTGCATGCTACTCAGTGCTTCCCCTACATAGGCTCAGGCGTGGCACTGCGTCACGCCTGAGAGATCCCCCTCCACACACACAGACGCAGGAAAGCGCTCCGTGCGATATGTCTCACCCATGCCTTGACTCTCACTTTAAAGACGAAGAAAACCTTTTTGTAATGTCTGAGGAGCTCTTTTTTTTCCCCCATCAAGGTGGAAAGTTCACAGCAGACATTTCTCTGTGGGGATGTCGCTGAGGTAGCAGACGTTAGCATCCAGTGTTTTTGTTTCATAAGCTGTGGTGCAGAATTGGCTGCATGGGAAATCTCCGCCGGGGTTTGCAGGTAAATTACTGGGCCCTCATTCATCAACCATTTGTAGAAATATTCCTAAATTCCTTTCTATGAATGAAAGTTGGAATGTTTATTAGGAACGGTCAAAAACCTGATTATGAAACATGCGGTAGCCACTCGTACGCATGTTCCTCCTCAATCGTCTCTCACCTGTACAAACCCAGGTGCTCGTGTCTATTCTCAGTCATTTACATACAGGAACGCCCTCAATTAACCATATTTGGTCACACCGCGTCCTCAGCAGGGCAGGGAATTCCCTGCGTTCCACCCAGAAAAAGAGAATGCTGTTGTGAGATTAAGACACTAAATGCCAAAGTGCAAAAGAACAAAACACGTTTCACCCACATAAACTCGGTTCACTTCAAGGTCCAGCCTCAGTCGGATTCCCACACTTTCTGCTCTCCTTCACCAGAATTATGAATAATTTATTTTGATGCCAGTGCAGCCAGAGTTTACTGGAAATTAGATTTCAAAATAAAGTAGTATTTTATGTATGTACGTATTATTAATTTCATGTCTGCCTCTCAGCATTCACCGCGGATCATCAAAACGGTTCAGTAAAACCCCCAACGAGCAGCTGTAACTGTTCAGGGTCCTTTCTGAGACCAGGAAACCGCTCGGCCTGGACCAGTGCATTCTGGGACGTGTAGTTTCTGTGCTGTGCACATTTAAGATGCGACGTTGCAGGAAAAGTTTTGACATTGGCCAAGTCAGAAACAAAATGGCGTAAGAACGTGTCACTGATGATGTTTTAGATGTTCCATCTGTGATCTGCTACTATCAGGGCCACCTGGTGAAGCTAAGCTAAAAGCATTTGTAACGTGATGAAGGAGCTATTCCTCCAAAGGTTATTTAACCTCTCTCCACAGATGCCTCTGACACGGTACTAAGTGCATGAGACTGCCTCAAGGTCATGCGTTTGCTTCTGAAAACTGTTTTCTTTCCAGCAAGAGAAGAATGAAGAAAGGACTCTTTGCTTTTAATACATCAGAGAACTCAATTTTTAATGAAGCTAATCAAACAAAGTGTTAGTCAATAATATAATGGTGACCGATCTGGGAAACGACAATGTTATGATTAATATGCTTTAAAAAGTAAATGACTATAATCTAGTGCACTAGACATGCTGACTACACGTAATGTAAACGCACGACACATTGCTGTTACTGATCCAATCAGAACCTTCCTTTCTGAAGCGTGGCATAGTCTCTGTGGTGTTTATAAATCTGTCCAACTTTGATTCGACCGTAAATCAAAACATCCAGATTAATAAAACCAGTCCCACGCCATCTTAGGTCCGTTCACCACATTCTAAGCGAAGTATCGGACCGGCCACCCGGACTTCCTTTTAAGCACAGAACCAACAAGCTGGATAAAATCTGTTGCATTTTACCAACCAAGCAACGGTTCCTTTCAGAATAAAAGCTGAACTCTCTGACCCAAGGGGGGTCCGTCTGACACTGAACCACCTGTCGCTTTTTACCTGGAGACAATCCAAAGACTAGTTTGTCGTACTGTTGACGCTGTTTCTCCTACCGGCTTCGGTTCCAGACAAGGTCCAGCTGGACCTCGACATTCCTGATCTAACGGGGACTTCCGATAAGGGTACGTAGACCGACAGAATGGCGTCAAATGTGTTTATGAATCTCCTAACCAAAGCTTAATGCAAAGACATCACCTTCACGTCCCATCAGAACTAATCGTTTCTTCGGATTTGCTGGTTCTGAACAACATTCCACACTACACCATTCTCCGTCTCATTCACCTTAGTTACACCATACACTTAGTGTTAAAGTTAGTCTAGTTTAATTTGTTTTAATAAATCTTTAAACTTTTAAACTCGACTCTCTCTCTTCTGTTGTCTCTGAGTGAATACGAAGCTGTTATCTAATCCCTGCAATAAAAAGTTCCAATCTTCTGGTTTAAATAACCTCACAGAGCCGTAAGGTGGATTTCATATTTCCTAAGGAATCTTTTGTCTTATGGCTTTATTAAATAACACGTAATTTAAATCATTACAGAATGTGTCTTAGAAGTAAGACACACATGTACTCCTACACATGCGTCACTAGAGAAAACCTCCACATGAATGTCCATCAGCAGCTGCTAGGTCTCTGTTTTCAGATCTACACCTGCAGATCCAGTCTTTCAGGGCCATCCTTCTTGATGCAGATCACACGGCTATTCTTTATGGGATGTTTCCTTTATGAATGTTTTGTGTTGTTCTGCCAGGCTGGTGTGTCACTAAGACCAGGCTTGCAGATGTTTATTGTTGCTATGAAAATTGTTTACCTGTTTGATTTTTATCACCACGACCTTCACATAACTTTTGTTTGCAGATTAGAATAGTCAAATTGTGGCTTGACTCCTGATCCTCACCTCTTGTCTACCATCAGGATGAACTGTCTCTTGCAAACAAGGGAAGCTCCAAGTCCAGCACACCAGCCCAGCAGAGAAACGTCTCCAAAACTGGAACGCCCGTGTCCCCAGGTGAAGGGAGGTCCATAGCCAGCACCCCCATGTCCTCCCAGGGTGGTATCTCTAAATCTGACACAGCTCCACACAGCGGCCATTCTCAGTCCAACGCATCATCTGCTCACAACGTGTCGCCTCTTGGACAAGGGCGTGTCTCATCTTCCTCTGATGTTGCCATGGAGTCTGTGGACACACTTCAACCGGAGCAGCAAACATCAGATGGGCTCAGCAAGAACCTGGACTGGGGGAGAGGCACGCCAGAGGGCAGTAAGCACATAGAACCGGTGCAGAAGGAACAGGAGACCCAGGAGTCTTCAGCTTTAAATCCTGAAGGTGACCTCACGTCTGTTTAACTCATAACTTTGTTAAGGTTGACCGTCCTTGACTAACTGTGGCACAGTCTCGTTTACCAACAGCTGATAACTATTTTTGTTGTACTAGAGGAAGCAGAGAAGTCTGAGGTGCAGGGCATCATCGAGTCCACTCCCGAGCTGAACGTGGACTTTGAGGGCTGCAGAGGAACGAGGTACAGACCCGTTTTTGACTGATTATTCTTCAGAGTAGACTTAACCCTCTGAGGTCCAGGTTACAATTTGCCATTTTTGACTAATTTTGGTTTTTCCTTTGTATTCCGAAAAAAACAAACATAACTACTGCCTTATGTAGTATCAATCTTTTCAGCACTACTGGAAAGTATGAATTTATACTTCTTTTTTATATTTGAACATAAAGTGATTGCATATTGGACCTTAAGTCACTCAAAAACATCAAGTCCGAGTTGGAAAAAAGTACATTTCTTCACAGTGAAACTCATGAACATGTATGATGAATGTTTTTTATAATTTGTGGCGTCAGACTCCAGCTGCGAGTCTCAGGCCCTGTCCACACGTAGCCGGGGATCTGCCAAAACGTAGATATTTTTCTACGTTTTGGCCTGTCATCCACACGAAAACCGAGTTTTTCACATGAAAACAGATCTTTTTAAAAACTCCGGCCAAAGTGAAGATCTGCGTTTTCTCCGTTTTGGGTGTCTGCGTGTGGACAGACAAAACCGGGTTTTAAGGTCCACAACGTCACTTTCCGCGACAAAAAAAGTGCTGACATCACGTGTGCGACCTGTGTTTGCACTAGCCGGCATCATGGAAGCCCTCAGAGCTGCGCTCTGTCACTACCCGATCCATCAATTGTCCAAGCGCTTTTTGCTTGTTTGTTTTTGCAAGAGGAATTACTGCTCCTTGCGGAAGACCACAGACGAAGGACGAGGTTAAGAACGGGGGAAGTACTGCCGCCTACAGGTCTGGCATGTCCTTAACAACGTATTTATCCGGGTACGTGTGGACAGAGTTTTTGTTTTTAAACGAGGTGGTGTGGATGCAAGTTTTTGGAGGGGCGGATATTCGTTTTTAAAAAACCCGGCTACGGCCTCACTCTCCTGTCTTCCAGCTAAAAACACAGCTGAACTGCTGGGCATTCGTTGTCATTATCCTCATTTATACGTAAAACAAACTCAACTATATGCGAATAATCATTTTGTCACAGATCGCTCCAATATCTAAAGTTTTCCGTGTCCGTTTAGTGTGCTCTGTGACGGCTGATATTAGCAGTTGTCACAACTTCTCTGATTGTCTAAAACGTTTCTTTAGTTTAGTATAACTCTGCTTTTACGGGGTCTATTAACAACAGTTTTAAACTGGTGTCATTTATTATCTCCTTTTTAAACCTGAATTGAAACCGAAACTCGAGGAGGCGGAGTCTTGCTGCTACGGCGTCCCAAATCAGATCTGTTCAAAAGACGTGGGTCCGCGTTCGTAAACCCCAGAGGGTTAAGCTGTTGTGTGGGGGGCACAGCTTGACATAAGACACTTGTTTTTGTGATGATTGTTTGTCCTACCTGTCCAGCACGCCGACTAAAGGAGGCATAGAAAATTTAGCCTTCAACCGCAACACAGACTCTCTGTTTGAGGAGCTGTCGTCTGCAGGAAACGACCTGATAGGAGACGTGGATGAAGGAGCGGACCTGCTGGGTGAGAAGCCCTGCTCTCTTCCATGACTCATGTCCCCTCCTCCCCCTTTTTTCCACATTTTGAGTTTTCTGAAATATCTTTTCTTTGGCTTGCGGGCTTTAACCTTCACAGAGGATTTTTCTGGTGTGTATCGGTGATTTCCTCTCATCTACTGATGTGTTGTCTTCATTGACCCTGATTGTCTCGTTGTCCTTATTGGCGTCTTTTATAAATTAGTGGTGCAGTGACGGTGCAAGACTAGAAATGTTTCAACAAGTCATTAACGAGTATGATGAACCTTTCTAATCCTTCTCTGCATGTCTCTCAGAATACAACTTTTTAGGTGAGATTTGTTTTCGGGGAACCTCACAGAAACGTAGAAGCTCGGATCATTTAAACTATTACTAGTCCTGAGATGCTGAAGGAGAGGTTTGTTTACCATTCTGGGTGATGTTTTCCAGGTATGGGTCGGGAGGTTGAACATCTCATCCATGAGAACACCCATCTGCTGGAGACCAAGTTAGTGTTTATCATAACTACTGAAGACTTGTTTTCTAGTTTCCAGGAGACCACGTTATGTTGTTCTCAAATCGCACTGAAGATCCAGAATAAACGACTCCCAGGGCCAAAACTGGCTTTGGTTCTGAGCTTTGAGCACCCCTGTGGCAGAGGATCACAGTGTAGGGAGACAGTTTATTTACACAGATAACAGTTTGCCTTTCCATTCCTGTAATTAGATGTGATGTCTGATTTATAAACTCGGTCTTAAAGAGCAGTCAACACTCTGTGCATCTCTGATTAGCATTTCTTAAATGTGATCTCAAAAAGCAGAATTTATAAACAACATTTGGAGCAGTTCTTATTAATTCAGTTGAAAACAAAAACGGCAGGCAGCTCTGAGGAGTTTTGACCTGTTTTTACTGACTGATGATTAAATACACAGCCCGCAGGAAGAGGACTGACCATCAGCTCCTGTTGTTCCTGCTAACGATTGGATTCAGTTTTAAAGCTGCTTCAGTAAATTTAGAACATTTTGGCTTACAGTATTTTTTTCGTGTGTGTGTGTGTGTGTGTGTGTGTGTGTGTGTGTGTGTGTGTGTGTGTGTGTGTGTGTGTGTGTGTGTGTGTGTGTGTGTGTGTGTGCGTGTGCGTGTGTGTGTGTGTGTGTGTTAGAATGGTAAGAGGCACGAACAAAATATTTTAAGCCAAAATGTTTTCCAAATTTACTGTAGGAGCTTTAAACTGAATCCTTCAACATTATAAATACATACGGTATTTTCCGGAGTATAAGTCGCACCAGCCATAAAAAGTATAATGAAGAAGAAAAAAACATATAAGTCACATTTTGGGGGGAAATTATATTATTTTTCTTACAAAATCTGAGACCAAGCGTTTCACATTTCAAGTCAAGAACCGGTAACAATAACAGAATAAACAACGTGGGCGCAGCAGCACGCCACGGTCTCCAGCAGAGGATGGCAGTGTTTGAAACCCTCCCAGCGGGACTGAAGAGCTGAAATCTGGACCGGAGCCGGCCCGCAGCAGCACAGTTTACATATTTTGGTATATAAGTCGCAGGACCAGCCAGATTATGAAAAGAAGTGCGACTTGTAGTCCGGAAAATACGGTATGTATATATTATATGTATATACATATATATACATATAGTGGAGGTTAAAAGAAACGTGAATAAGAATGAATAAAATGATTCTCCTGCATTTGTGGAAACACCTCCACCAATAATGCGTTTTGGACTGAAAACAATCGGGTCATCCGGTTGTCGGCGTCACTGAACCGCCGCACTTCCTGGGTCCTCCGCTCATTACGCACTCATGCATTTAACAACCGAACATCACTGATGTGAGAGGTTCTCCGCTCAATAATAGCAGAGAAGATGAAATGGCTGGATGCTACCACTTCAATGTTAGGACAAACCACCAGAGTCACAAAAACACCATTTGAAGTCACGGACAACAACATATGTTTGGACCTAGAAAATGGCGACTGGTGTTTAGCGATCTTGTTTCGTCCGGAATCGCAGGTTTCCGGTAGAAGGCGTTCTGTTGATTAGCGGTAGCAGCTTTAAATTATTCAGACTAGAGTTAAACTTACGCGGATTTGAAACATCACAACAATCGTGTTGGTTGTTGGTCTCCAGCTCCTAATGAAAGTGGTTATTTTCAGGAGATCAGGAGCTGATTGCTGCCTACCATCGATCAGAAACGCCTCGATCTGAACCCTGATCTGACGCAACGACCTGGCCATCCTGGTTGTAATCTAGACATGACATTAGAGCGTTCATTGGTGTGTGTGTGCTTTACAGAAACGCTCTGAATGTGGTGAAGAATGACCTGATCACTCAAGTGGACGAACTGTCGTGTGAGAAGGAGGTTTTGAGAGGGGAGCTGGATGCCGTCACGCAGGTTAAAACCAAACTAGAGGAGAAGAACAAAGAGTTGGAGGAGGAGCTCAAGAAGTGAGTTATAACCTGGGTCCTGCTTACCAACCAGTAGTCTGCTTCGTCTGGACGAGGTGTGATTGGTCTGTTGCAGAGTTAAAGCAGAACTGGAGGCAACCAAACAGAAGATCAAGATCGACAACGAGGACGACGTGAGTCTACGGTGCTTTGCGTCTGCAGACGAGTGCAGATGAACATGAGCAGGTTGTGTTGAGTCGTGGCTGCTTTGGTTGGTTTTACTGCAGAGCGACGTGCCCACGGCGCAGAGGAAGCGCTTCACTAGGGTGGAGATGGCCCGCGTCCTTATGGAGAGGAACCAGTATAAGGAGAGGCTGATGGAGCTGCAGGAAGCTGTCAGGTGGACGGAGATGATCAGGTATGTGTCCAGCAGGAGAACATGCTGGATGGTTGCCCCCCTAAAGATCACGTCTTGCTTTAGATGCATTTAAATCTCTACTGGGAGAAGGTTTCTTAAGATGCTTGTGGAGTCATTTTAGTCATCAGACATGATCATCTATAAATATTATTATTCCTGTTTGGACAGCACTTCCTCTTCTCCTTGTAGAGCTTCCAAGGAGAACCCAGCTCTTCCAGAGAAGAAGAAATCCAGCCTCTGGCAGTTGTAAGCTTCTCTACTCCTTTCGCCCGAGCTCCTAAAAATCAACTCGGCTTTGATTAAAGTGTTGCTTCTCTTCTTTTTTACACGGTGGTTTTCTCCAGAATGTAGGTAGATATTGGACGGCTTTGAATGTCCTCACCGTATTAACAAACTCAGAACAGAGGAGAGCTGGCCAGGGCGTGGTGCTGGTGATGCCTCCACCAGTTTGTGTGTAGAGGTGTCGTCCATCACTGTGTGCTGGTGCCCTCCTGTGCTGAGTTTAAGGAATGGGTTTGGGCCGGAACAAAAGTTAACTCTACCATCTGTGCCTGTTTCTGTGTGTCCTCTGGTGTTGTGGTGTCTGTGTGCAGGAGGTGTGTTGGGGTGGGGATTCTGTAGGGATGAGGTGACCTAGCCTAGCACCTGATGTGTTTACTATAGTCATGAAGAAGTTGGGGTTTCTGGGCAGGCCTCTTCTGCTCTGTGTTGTTGACTAACCTCCTGGCGTGTGCATATTAACGTCCTGCTCTGGCGCTTTCCAATGGAAATGCAGATCAGCATAGGTGTGTAGGATGGTGTGTGCAGCTGCCTGTATTGGCATGAAAAGGGAACCCCTAATTGGTAAATATGCGTTGCAGCTACCGCTCGTGTCCACCCCTCTATACGTTTGTCTCTGTGTGTGCTTTCTTCTGCTCCCCTTTTCCCCCACTTCCCTGCCCTTACACCTCCAGTTTCAGCCGTTTGTTTAGCTCGTCGGGCGGAGCGGGCAAGAAGCCGGCGGGGGAGGCCCCAGTGAACGTCAAGTACAACGCACCCACCTCCCAGATCCAGCCGTCTGTCAAGAAGAAGAGCAGCACCCTGCAGCAGCTGCCTGGTGACAAGAGCAAAGCTTTTGACTTCCTCAATGAGGAGTGAGTGTGTCTGAGCATCGTTCTGCAGAACACAGGTTACCAGAACCTGCTAACCTCAGGCTACCTTACTGCGTTTGTACTTGATGTGACTTCAATTTGATACATTTGACCTCTGAAATAACTGAAAATCATGTCAGCAAACGTTGTGTGGTACTTATTATGACATATTAAGTAGGGATGCACCGATGGATCGGCATTTGATCCCAATCGGCCGATAGCACCCATATCGGTTTTGATTGGAGTTTTCAAAATAGATCAAAGCAGACCGATCAGGTAGGGTTGTCACGGTAACCGGTGTAGCGGTAAACCCCAGTAAAAAAAAAAGTAGACAATAATAACAGTCTTGTTTATTAAAAACTATATTATCTCGGTGGATTACCGTGGCTGCGGTGTAGGCGCGGTGACCCTTACCAGCCACCGTATCATCTGCTGAAGTTGCCGGCGGCACATGCGCGCTTTGTTGTTTACAATCAAAACTTTCTTGAAGCTAAAGCTGAAATAACGGCCAAAGGACGAGACGGCAGCGCTCAGGACATTTATTATCCCTCACAGAAGACAAAGTGGGAAGTACGGGCATCTTTTGGATATTTGAAGAATGCCGAGGGACAGCTGATAGAAGACGGCTATCCTGTTTGCAGCACGTGCAGAAAAAGTGTCTGTGAAAGGCAGCAACGCTTCAAATCTCATGACACATCTGCGTGACCATCACCCACAACTCTACAGTCAACGCAAGGCAAGCTAACGTTAGCGTTTTAGCTAAAATGCGTGATCCGAGGATTTGGGTTGAGGGAGAAAGCAACGAGTCGCTATATAAAGCAGCCGCAGCGCCGCTACCTGCATATAAACCGTGTCGCGGACACCCCCATGTTGAAATGACGCTATGCATTACGGGGCTCCCAGGGGCAGATAAGAGTTGGTCTCTCTCCGAGAATAATTATGAATTTAACAATGATTACTGCCTGATGACATTTTCCCACATCTGCAAAGCTCACTGGAAGGACACAAACCGAGGACAATATTTTCCTGATATAGGGTTTATTACTCAAGTAAGGGTAAAAAAGTATCTGATTAGAAGGCTACTTGAGTACTGAGTATCATCTGAACTGATATTTTTAAAATGATGACATCAAACAGACAAAAAATAAGAAGTTATGGGCAAATGTTGGTATTTTAAAGACTAAAGGGGAAAAATGTAAACAAATAAACAACATAATTACAAAATAACACATTTTAGGCTAAATTTAGACACAAACTGAGGACAATATTTTCCTGACATACAGGGTTTATTTAATTGTGTGAAAATGTAGCACGTTTAAAAAAAATACCGCGATAATACCGAAAACCGTGGTAATTTTGGTCACAATAACCGTGAGGTTACATTTTCACACCGTGACAACCCTAATACAGACCATTTTAGATTAGGTTGCATTTCCTTTATTCCCAGATTATGTAGTTTGTAGCACTCATTATAATGTTGTAGAAAATTTCTGGCCAATCCACGTGATCGGTATCGGTGATCGGCAGCAAAAAACCTGATCGGTGCATCCCTAATATTAAGGCCTCTGACCGCTAGCGTGCATCCCAGGAAAGATGCTGAGGAGGGGGGGCAGTCTGGGCAGGCATGACAGAGAAAGACTAGTTCCTCTTCTCTTTGGGAGGATTGTTCAGCGTTGTTGCGTCCACAGTAGTTTGTTATCAGAGCTTTGTTACCGTTTTCCATTCACTTGGTCTTGAGTCGCGCCGAGTGTGAGGAGAAGGACTTGGCTTGTACAAATAGACTTGTATTTAAAACAAAATGACCCCTAAAACATGAACGAAAGCAAAAGAAGGAATTTTATGTGAGTGGCCTGCCGTTTAATCCCACAGAGCTCCAGCTGAGAGCGTGGCATCGAGACGGGAGCAGAAACGGGCTCAGTACAAGCAGGTCAAAGCTCACGTGCAGAAGGAGGACGGCCAAGTGCAGGCCTTCGGCTGGAGCTTACCCAAAAAATACAAAGTAAGAAGATTCCTTTGAAAGTGTTTTTGGGAGTGGCGCCGAATGTGAAAGAAGTCCAGAACACAGAGCTGCTGGTGTGTTTTCACCTTTTAGGCCAATGGAGGTCAGTCAGAGGGAAGGATGAAGAATCTACCTGTTCCTGTCTTCCTCAGACCATTGGATGAGAAAGATCCTTCAGTGAAGGTGTTTTCCTCTGCTACTCAATGGCATGTTTGTTCATTTTTAAATGGCTTGTTTACTTGCCTGTAAATCCTGTGGGCTGGTCTCTACATCCACCAGAGAACGGCCCCAGAGCAGCAGATGTGGGTGTATCTAGTTGTTTAACTGTGTCTCTCCTGCAGCTGTGGTGTGCTGCTGGTGTGAATCTGTCTGGAGGGAAAACCAGAGATGGAGGTTCGATAGTTGGAGCCAGTGTGTTTTACAGCGACATGGCGGGCTCAGAGAGCCCTAAAAAGAAGATTGGCTCTCAGAGTAGTCTCGACAAGCTGGATCAGGAGCTCAAAGTACACAACTTTACTCTCTGTGAAGAAGCGGCACATTCACGTGGAGCTCTAACCCATCTTTGCTGGCGTTGCAGGAGCAGCAGAAGGAGCTGCGGCACCAGGATGAGTTCTCGTCGCTCGTCTGGATTTCCACTAGCACTCAGTCCACCTCTAAAGTGGTTGTCATCGATGCCAACCAGCCTGGGAACATCCTGGAGAGCTTCTTTGTCTGTAACTCGCATGTCTTCTGCATCACTAGTGTTCCAGGTCAGTGAATGAGAACAAATACAAATGTCTCGTTCTGATTTAGCTGAACGCTGAGAGATTCCGGTTACCATTCAGGCGCGCGAGAGACAGATTACCCAGCTGGAGAGGACCTTTCTCCCACGTCCGAGGAAGGACCAGCAGCAGATGGCATTTTGTCAGCTGCCAACAGCTGCTCAGAGGGTGGAGACGACGTTTTAGGAGGCATCACAGTGGTGGGCTGTAACGCCGAGGGAGCTGTTGCTGTTCCCCAGACAGCAGACCAGTCAGGTAAAGAGCAGCACATCCGTAAGAGCCGTCAGGGTTCCTGATGATCAGCTTCTACTAACGCGAACCGATGTCAACAGAATCCAGACCAGCAGAAGAAGCCGTGGAGGCCGTGGAGACCAGTGCAGAATCTGTGGACCCCAGTGGAAGCCTGAGGGGCGTCTACACAGAGCATGTCTTCACAGACCCCCTAGGAGCTCAGCTGTCCAGAGAAACACCAGCCAACTACTCTCAGAGGTAGAGAGGGTTCATCAGCATCCAGCTGCTGAGCTCGTGCAACTCATGGAAAGTCAGAGTAGTGACTCGGTCAGAAGCAAGTGGAATTATTTTTCTTGCCTTAATATTTACCTTCATTAGATGGAAAAGTCCATATTTAGGTCAGCGTCAGGTCTGGCAGTGTAAATGGCCGAATCGGGCCAGTTCCCCGTTGTCTCTGAGGTCCTTATTTGTTGTCTGAATGTGGAGCTGTTGTCTCCTCTGAACAGGGAGAGTGATCTGCTGAAAGATGGTGTGAGTTCCAACCACAGCTCGGAGGAACCTGACCCCATGAGGGAAGAGGCTCAGAAAATGAGCAGTGTTCTTCCCACCATGTGGATGGGGGCTCAGAATGGATGGTGGGGTTTTTATTTCCACGTGACTATCCCCCACAATCCTCTGTGTACTGATGGGCTCCCCCTTTGGTCGTAGTGTCTACGTTCACTCGTCGGTGGCCCAGTGGAAGAGGTGTCTCCACTCCATTAAGCTGAAGAAGCCCGTGGTTGGCATTGTGTAAGTTCAGTCAGTCAGATGATCCCTGCAGGGTTGACTCTGTGCCTGTTGGCTGAAGCACGTTTCACCCCCAGACACGTGAAAGGACGAGTCCTGGTCAGTCTGTCGGATAGCACCCTGGCCGTTTTCCACAGAGGAGTCGGTGAGGGAGCTCATCGCCTCATCATGATGCCCTAGAAAGCTTCTGTGATGATTTGAGCTTGTGTTGCCTGTTCCTCGTCAGATGGACAGTGGGACCTGACCAACTACCATCTGTTGGACCTTGGGAAGCAGAACCACTCCATCCGCTGCATGACTGTAGTCCACGATAAGGCGTGGTGTGGCTACAGGAACAAGATTTATGTGGTGCACCCCAGAGCTATGAAGATAGAGGTGAAGACTCACCAGCTCAGTGATTTATCTCTGATGGCACGTTTGTTTTACACGTATGCGTCTTCCACAGAAATCCTTTGATGCCCACCCTCGTAAGGACAGCCAGGTTCGTCAGCTGGCCTGGCACGGCGATGGCATCTGGGTGTCCATTAAACTGGACTCTACCCTCAGGCTGTTCCACGCTCGTACTTACCAGCACCTCCAGGACATCGACATCGAGCCGTATGTCAGCAAGATGCTCGGTGGGTTTGCTGCTGCTCTGGTTGCAGGATTGCTCTCAGCCCTTATTGAAGGTTTAACTGGAAGTCTCGCTGGTGTCTAGGAACGGGGAAACTGGGCTTCTCCTTTGTCAGGATCACGGCTCTCATGGTGTCGTGTAACCGTTTGTGGATTGGAACCGGTAATGGAGTCATCATCTCCATCCCTCTGACAGAAAGTGAGTGTTTCATTTAGGGGCAGAATCAGCATCCATCTGTTCATAACAGGGGTACAACACTATTCATACCCAAGCATGTAAGGAGACCCAAGGTGGTTATAAAGGATAGAGCTAAAAGGGTCTGTATGAAAAGCCAAAATAGTCATAATCCATGGCATCAAAATCCACACGTATCCAAGTGTGCAAAGTTAAAAGAACCATAATGTCTATATACAGGTGCTGGCCAGTAAATTAGAATATCATCAAAAGGTTGAAAATATTTCAGTAATTCCATTCAAAACGTGAAACTTGTACATTATATTCATGCAATGCACACAGACCAATGTATTTCCAATGTTCATTACATTTAAATTTGATATTCATAAGTGACAACTAATGAAAACTCCAAATTTGGTATCTCAAAAAATTAGAATATTCTGAAAAGGCTGAATATAGAAGACACCTGCTGCCACTCTAATCAGCTGATTTACTCAAAACACCTGCAAAGGCCTTTAAAAGGTCCCTCAGTCTTGTTTTGAAGGCACCACAATCATGGGGAAGACTTCTGACTTAACAGCTGTCCAAAAGACAATCATTGACACCTTGCACAAGGAGGGCAAGACACAAAAGGTGATTGCTAATGAAGCTGGCTGTTCGCAGAGCTCTGTGTCCAAGCACATTAACAGACAGGCGAAGGGACGGAAAAAATGTGGTAGAAAAAAGTGTACAAGCTCTAGGGATAACCGCACCCTGCAGAGAATTGTGATGACAAACCCATTCAAAAATGTGGGGGAGATCCACAAAGAGTGGACTGCAGCTGGAGTCAGCGCTTCAAGAACCACCACGAGGAGACTCATGAAAGACATGGGATTCAGGTGTCGCATTCCGTGTGTCAAGCCACTCTTGAACAAGAAACCGAGCAAGAAGCGTCTCGCCTGGGCCAAGGACAAAAAGGACTGGACTGATGCTGAGTGGTCCAAAGTTATGTTTTCTGATGAAAGCAAGTTCTGCATTTCCTTTGGAAATCAAGGACCCAGAGTCTGGAGGAAGAGCGGAGAAGCACAGAATCCACGTTGCATGAGGTCCAGTGTAAAGTTTCCACCGTCAGTGATGGTGTGGGGTGCCATGTCATCTGCCGGTGTTGGCCCACTCTGTTTCCTGAGGTCCAGGGTCAATGCAGCCGTCTACCAGGAAGTTTTAGAGCACTTCATGCTTCCTGCTGCTGACCAACTTTATGGGGATGCAGACTTCACCTTTCAACAGGACTTGGCACCTGCACACAGTGCCAAAACCACCAGCACCTGGTTCAAGGACCATGGTATCCCTGTCCTTGATTGGCCAGCAAACTCGCCTGACCTTAACCCCATAGAAAATCTATGGGGTATTGTGAAGCGGAGGATGCAATACGCTAGACCCAACAATGCAGAGGAGCTGAAGACGACTATCAGAGCAACCTGGGCTCTCATAACACCTGAGCAGTGCCACAGACTGATCGAGTCCATGCCACGCCGCATTACTGCAGTTATTGAGGCAAAAGGAGCCCCGACTAAGTATTGAGTGCTATACATGCACATTCTTTTCATGTTCATTCTTTTCAGTTGGCCAACATTAGAGAAACAAACATTTTTTCATTGGCCTTTAGAATATTCTAATTTTCTGAGATACCAGATTTGATGTTTTCATTGGTTGTCACCTATAAATATCAAAATTAAACGTAATAAACATCGGAAATACATTGTTCTGTGTGCATTGCATGAATATAATGTACAAGTTTCACGTTTTGAATGGAATTACTGAAATATTTTCAACCTTTTGATGATATTCTAATTTACTGGCCAGCACCTGTAGACTGTCCAAAGAAACCGAGTGCATGTTTGTGAAGTAAAACGGGTCTCTCTCCATGCGCCGGTAGCTAAAAACATCTGAACTTTGTATGGAAAGACAAAGTGGCTATAATTATTGGATGGAAAGTTTCAACGGTTCAGGATTTATGTGCTTTGATGAAGCTTCTGGTTCATAACTGGGTGACTTTGAGCTATTCTACATACATTTATTGTGTCTGACCTATTAGCAGCCAACAACGTGACCAAAGCAGCAGGAAACCATCCTGGAGGCGTGGTTCGTGTATACGGAGACAACAGTGGGGACAAAGTGATGGCCGGGACATTTGTCCCCTACTGCTCCATGGCCCACGCTCAGCTCAGCTTCCACGGTCACAGGAATGCCGTCCAGTTCTTCGCTGCAGTTCCAGGTTGGAGACTTGGTGTGAAACTGTTGAAATCATGTGGTTTCTGCGCTGCTTACAAACACTCAACCTCTTTGTTCGTTTTCAGAGTTAGGAATTGTGTGCCTTAAGAAAGCTGCTTCAAAAAGTCTCCATTTGTGACATCACAAACAGGAAATTAGCATAGAACCGCCTCTCACCTGGATGAGAGCAGCGGTTCTACTATGAGCCCCTCCTGGATATTGGAGCTTCTCAGCTTATAGCAGTCTGAGCAAGGGGTGAGTGGGTGTGACCAGCGCCAGCTGGGACGACCCGTTCTGGAAGGTACTGAAGCTGTAGAGAACAAACCAGCTGAGAGGGATTTAGAACGTGTTTGGTCTCGACTACAGGTCTATCTTACTGAACTCTATCAGATTAGTTTCACTCCTGCTAGGGTAATGGAGGGCTGCTGTTCTACATGTTTTTGTTGTTTCTCTGCCCCAGCTGGCCTGATGTGAATCGGTAGGTTTTCTGTAGAACATGGAGATGCTGAACAGAGGTGCTGGATCGTGGCCCTCCGGGACCTGGGTTGGACACCACTGTGCTAAATGACCATCTAATCAACCACACTGAAACAAGCAGCATGGACTAAAAACGACAACGTGGACCACAAGTAGATGTGAATAAACAAACATCAGAAGCCTGGTCATGGCTCCTGTTGTCCATTTAGGGAGTTTTAGGGTTCTTCGAGCCACACTAATGGCACTTTCCCAACGGCACTAAGAGTAACTCAGGTTAGTGCTCTTTCTGGCGACATTTTCCAAGAGCACGGTTAAGTATCTTCCCTCTACTTTCTCCCCTGTTTTTAGTCCCTGCTCCGTTGAGGTAACTGGCCAGGCCGAGTCAGGTCGGGGTTGTGATTCTGGCCACTTATAGACTAGGGGGCGGAGTTACTGGTTGCTCCGAAGATTTCCGTCTTTTGTTTTCCTGGTTCACAGTCTGAGAAGAATGTCCAACAACACCACCACTTTTGTGCCGAGTAGTTTCTGTGTGGAACATACAGTTCACCTTGTGGGCCTGCAAGGTTCCACCCATCCCAAATATCAGGAAACGAGAGTCCAGTTTCTGTCGTGTTCAGCCCAACGCTGATGTGGCTCACTTCTAGTTCCTGGAACAGGCGCATCCTAACCCTACTAGAGACCACTGCAAATGTATTAAGAATATGGGTACAGTTGACATTTAATGATTTTATTCTGGCTAGTTTTACTTTAATTCTGGGGAGTGTCCAGGTTTTCTTACATCTTATTCCTTTTCCATCACCAGCTCACCCTCTTTAACCGTTAGAAAATCCCATTTTGTTTGATGTAAACACATCAAATTCATCTCAGAGATTTAGTTTGAGGCCGTTCACTTTGTGGCCAACTGTTTGGTTGTGACTGGCTGTGGTGAGTTTGAGTGTGAGCAGTTAGGTGCTAACAGATGATCTTAAAGTATCCACAGTTTTTATTTTTGTTTGGTTAAAAATCCTAATCTGGATTCTCTTTGTCTGGACTGAAGGTCTCAGCCATCCACGCGTGTTCCTCGTCCACAGAGGATTGTAACCCAATAAGTAATTACGTATGTAGAGAAAGAGCTTCATCACATAACTGGTGTTAGAACCTACAGAAGACTCCTCTGACTTTGCAGCACGGCAGGTTTCGTGTTAAAGGATTTGACAGAGCGTGAACTCTGGAGGTCAACGTGTCCTCCATGAGCGCACTAATCTGATTGGTGAGAACCCAGAGTGACTCCTGAGCAGATGCTGCTTCCTGAGGGAGATCCTTCTGGAGCCATGCTGTGATTCAGGACCAGTTGTGGAGCGACGGAAAAACGGCACAAATCCAGTTCCAGTCCATGTTCGATATTATCAGCTACAAGAAGCCCCAGGAAGCTCCTCCCACTCAGCACCCTGAACATGCTTGCGTTGCCAATGTAACCAAACTGACAGACAGCTCTGCAGGAAGAATGTGGGTACTCCCCGCATAAGCTGAGGACGTGGTGTGACCAAATGGTTGGTCGAGGGTGCTTCTGTGTGTAAATGACTGAACGTACCTGGGTGTGCACAGGTGGGACTGATCAACAGTCGATTACGGAGGAATGTGTGTGTATGAGTGTATGTTGCATAAATCAGGATTTGGCCGTTCGTACGAACTTTCTCCGTTTCCTTCATGGGAAGGAGTATAGGACAGTTTCTATGAACGACTGATGAATGGAGGCCCAGGAAAGCTGTGGCTTGTCAAAATAAAAGCATCGAGTAATGCTGCCTCAAATACACAGAAAGTGACTGCAGAGCACACTAAACTTTATCGGGTTTTCTTCTCCTTGTATGGTTGAAAATTCAGAATAAATACACTCAGAAGTTCATAAGTTAACAACCAAAAAGGTCTTACAGTGGAAATGTTAGAAAATCCACAAAAGCCAGGAGATGCTTACAAACGCCAAATCCAACTGAGCCCTGATGCCTCTGGTTCAACTGTGTGTTATAATTTAGGAACATTCAACTTTGCCACTGGAGAGCTTGAGCTTTGTTTACTCTGTCTGTTTTCAGGACATCCTGATCCGTCTGCTTCCTGTGGAGGAGAAACCGCAGGAGACAAGTCCACCGATGCAGCAGCTCAGGAAGGAAAGCAGTCCATGCTGGTGATGAGTGGAGGAGAAGGCTACATCGACTTCAGGATGGGTGAGTTTACATGAAACGGCACGAACCGAGGAGTGATCATCAATGTGGTGGGTTGATGAGGGCACCGTGTGTGTGTGTGTTTGTGTGTGTAGGTGATGAGGACGGCGAGGCAGAGGAGACTGAGGACGCCCCCCTGAAGCTGCAGCCTTTCTTGGCTGAATCTGAGCGCAGCCACCTCATCGTCTGGCAGGTTTTGGCCTGTGAAGACTGAGCTGGTGGACCTCCTAGAGGTCTGATGCCTCTTTTCTGTCTCGCCGCAGAAATGGAGGTGAAGCTGGAGGAGTCTGCTCTGGAGGCACAGCTTTCATCAGCACTTATGTTTGCTCCCTGAACAATGAGAGCGACTCCTGCTGAATGAGAGCTGGAGCGTTTTCTCTGAGAACTCTGGCTTCACTTTGTTCTGCTACGTTTTACGTCAGCGAGTCGGACCTCTGATGCTTCAAGCGAAGGCGAAGCTGACCTTTTTGTGTTTTTCAGCTTAACCAGTCAAAGCTCATACTGAACACAAGCTAGTACAAGAGAATGTAAGCTGGACCAACTCAGGCATCCAGTCATGGAGGATTCTTCATCCATTTTCTGTTATTACCCTGGAGTTCCCCAGCTGTGTTTGGGTTATTACATATGAACCAGTGAGAGCCCGGTTTGTGCCTCACACGTCACCGTAAACCCTTTATGTCCCGTTTCCCTAACATAACCACGTAATCGCTGCTCTGAAGCAGCCGTCACAGGTCAGAGCATCTCATCCAACAGGGTTCTGGTTTCATTCCTGCTCCTTATTTTACAAGGACAAGGAAACGAATAGAAACTACCTGAGCGGATGTTTAATTCAGAGATTTAAATTGTAAAATAACTCAATGTTTAGATGAGATGTTAAATCTTCAACCAGACCAAATCTTACTTTATTTATTCGACCACACAGCTAGAAGGCCAGTGGTGATGGTGGCTGCAGCTGGGTTTTGTGTTTACACGCCGGCACACGGAAAGCACGTTCAAACTCTAGCTGACCCGTTCAGCCATCCAATCAGATCAGTGATGTCATAGCTCCACTACTCCAGCTGCAGCGTGGAAAGAGTGCCTGGTAATAAATCGGTTGGTTTTTAGACTGAATGCAGTCTGTGTTATCCCTCGCATCAGCATGCTTAACCATTAGCGTTAATGCTAATGTTCACGAGCTTGTGGTCACGCTAATGGTGGTGTGTTTAAACTTGATCCGTATTAATAATGTGAGAGGAAAAGATGGTGTCATGATGCCATTTGACATTCCCGGGCACGTTGCATGCTGGGTAGTTAAGAGCTAAATTACCAGCAGGAAGGTAGAAGCTACACAAAAGAATGAGGTTTTGGTTTAAAGCTGGGCCTGTAATCATGACAATCTACACATTTCCAAACCTCCAGAGGAAAAACCAGGTCAAAGGTCAGATTTGGAGAGCTCTAGAACCTTTACACACACCTGAGGGTTTAAGGGTGTCAAAGGTTGGCTCTTATAACACTATAATGAGCTTTGAGCTAGCTTAAATGGTTGAGACTATATTTGATGGTCCAGGGCTAACTTATAGATTGGGGTGGGCATTCATTGTCCTCGAGGGCTGCTATCCAGCATGTTTTAGTTGTGTCCATGTTGTAACACACCAGATTTTATCAGCAGGTGATAAAAAGCTGCAGGGAAACAACAAAAACATGCTGGATAGCGGTTCTCGTGGATCAGAGTTGCCCACCCCAGTTCTAGATGGTGGTTCTGCCTAGCTTAGAGTTACTTCCTAGCCTGGCAAACCAGACTAAAAAACAATGTTTAGTCTGGCAACGCTCCATTGACGCGGCTCTCGGTCGTGAGATGGGTTCTACCCTTTTCTTTCAAATGATCTCCGCATGCTACTGGACAATGAACTAGGGGTTGTATGAACTAGTCGACTTGACTGCTCTGTAGTGACTTTTTATGCCTGTCATCGACTAGTCGCTGTCACGTGATAATGACCGACGAGATGGAGTCCTCCGAAAAGACAGCAGCCTGCTGTCAGCAGGTGATGAGCTCCTGCGCATCAGGAGGCAACGCGCTGTGCCAGAGCGTCGGTACTGAGACCCGCCGTAAAACGGACATTTGACCGAGTTGTGACCTTTACCCTCTTGCAATTTAACCTTCCCCTCACCCCCATCCTGACCTTAACCAGCTTGCGCATGCAAAGCTCTGATCGTTGACGCGCTCCAGACATCTGCGTCCTGAGCACGGCCGCAGTAACATTATCAAATCAGGTGTCGCCACCTCAAAAACTAATTTAACACGCGATCATTCATGTCGGCTCATTTCCTTTTATGTTTCCTGTCTTTTATTTGTGCCTGATGCGTTTCGCTACTATGGAGCGGAGCGCATCACCTTTTTTGTCCTCCGGTGACGCACCTCACCAGTGCGGCCGGCGCACACTCCGCTGTTTTAGCGGGCGGTAGATCTTTTAGAACTGCAGTTCAAAGGTAACTCATAAGGTGAATCTATATGAACCCAGGTAGCAGTTTCTCTTTAGGATTGAGAGGAGATGCAGGAAGATAATAAACAGGCAGGACAGAAAAATATTCCAATAAAAACAAGTTAGTTTTTGTACCTGGTGGTTGCAACAAACAAACACCACTGAAGGTAATCAGAAGTGAGGAACAGAAAATGAAATAATTATTTTAATGTTTAGAGCAGCAGGAACTCTGAGAGAATGCAGGCGCACCAGTGAGTTTGTGGGCGCTGCGCAGGGGGAGGGGGGAGAGGGCTGAAGCGGAGCAGTATAGATGCAGAAACTACCGTTGTTAAAAGAGATGCGTTTAACATAGAAAATGTGGGCGCAATTTTAATTGTCAAAAACTCCCAACGAACCAACCGGTCTACGACTGCTACCCGGTCTTCAGTTTGAGTCGTGTAGGTATGACATCACTGTAACATGACTGGATAGTTCAGATGTTGGTCTTAAGCCCTTAACCAGTAACTGTCCCTGAGACTTTCTCAGCCTTCTACCCAGCTGAGGCAGGCCCGGTTTGAGATGGTACTCCTGCCATGTTCAGAACTTCTATGGGAGGCCAGTCAATTGATTTACCAAGGGGAGGACAGGTTAGTGTGATGATGCTTTTAAGTGTTTTAGCAGAAAGGTAAAGGTTACATGTTGAAGATGGCTCTCTGAACAGAGGTATCACCCCCCCAAATCTCAGGTGTGCACCATGCCCAGTCAAACCGCCTCTAACTAGTTTCATCACTAGCTGTTAACGTATCTGTCCAATCAGGAGTAATCTGAAAAGCCACAGGTAGGAGAAACACAGAGCTAGGAAAAGGCCTATAGTTCATGGGTTTGCCTCCCCCTCCCCAACCACCACTAAAGGTACCTTAAGCTTGGTTTATGCTTGACGCGTCCGTGAGGTCCGCATGGCTCCGTGCTGCAAAATTGCATCATTTTAACCACCGCGCCTCCGCACGGCCCAAACTTTCCGCACCGCGCACCTAGGAAATTTTCTAACCACGCAGACGGTCGGACGCGGAAAAAGAGGGCGGACTAGAACTAGTATGGCAGAGGTTTGTAAATACAGACATTTGTATGATTCAGCTCTCAAAGATCACCGTGATCAACATGTTAATAATTCTTGGAGAGAAATAGCTCGCACTGTCGGAAAAGACGAGGACGCTGTTAAAAATGCTGGAATGCCATGTTGTAAACAGCAGTAATTTTTACTTCTACTATGGTGTAGTGTTGGGTGCATGCCGTAGAGCTCTATGCTGCCCCCTACAGTTTGGGAGAATATTGGCTCACCGCAGAGACAAGCCGCATGAACCATAAACCTCCTCTCCATGACTGATGTCAATTTGTTGTTGTTACTATTGTTGTTGGCCTCAAGGGCAAAATGTCGTTTATCACTTGTAAGTCGCTTTGGACAAAAGCGTCTGCTAAATACATAAACATAAACGCTGCAAGTTGTGAATCGCGTTCCATCCGCGAGCCGCATCACCAAGCGGAAAGTGAATGCGTCAAGCATAAACCAAGCTTTAGTGATGAAAGGTTGGTGGTCTTCTGATGCGTGACGGAGAACTTGTTTTTACTTTTATTTTCTCTTCACCTGAATATTCTGCTTGCTACCAAAGACTGACCTTCAGCCGTGAACTGAAGCAGCAGGTTTTTCTAACAGGAACACTTGTGTAGGGAGAGATGCAAGAGCTATATTTTTGAACTTTCATATTTGTAAAGTGAAATATTGTAACGGTGTGAGAGACGCTACTGTTGGAGACCAGCAGCCGTCTGGTGAACAACCGCTACTCTTTGTACCAAACCTGCTTCATGTAAACAAGCTGGGGGTGGTTTGTTTATTTTATCAGCTTTCATTTGCAGAATTCCACCCCACCCCCGACTTTCTCTTTGGGGATGATGCTATTGAATGCTGTACTTGTTTTTGTATTTAACGGTATCAGACATCCTGTCCTAATTATGCAACGCGTCCATCTCCTGTCCAGGAGAGAAGACATATATTTATAGTTTCAGTTCAGCCTCTTCAGTATTTATTTTCAAATCGAGCCTTTGCAATTGAGAATGTATGTTTGTATGTTGAGTGTAACTGATTATAAATGTGTGAAACAAAATGTCTGATTGTGTAACAGCTGCTGTTACTTGGCTATGCACAGTCTATGTGGGGTTTACTCACATTTGTCCTGATGCAATCAGTTCTCCTCTCTCCACAGCAGGAGGTGAAGTCCCAGCAATAACCAGGAAGCTCCACCCCACCTCCACTCATTCCTGCAGCAGCTTGCTTTAGGGGGAAAGGTCAGGACGTCCTTCTGTAGGACACATGGACAGCTGCTCTAGCCTTGCTGATTTTTCACTATTAAACCAATTGCTGTGGACACATTTCTGACTTCTGGCTCGTGTTTAGTGTGAAATGCTCTTCAACGATCATGTCTGGTAACAACACCAGGACATAATCCCTTTGATCAACAGGCCAACCACTGTTGACAGCGCCTGCGCTGGCGTGTGAGGTTGAGAGGTTCCAGCTAGATGTAGTCGGACTCACCTCGACACATGGATCTGGCGCTGGAACTAGCTACCTTGAGAAAGGTTGGAGAGTCTTACCTCTCTGGAGTTGTCCCATTGAGAGGCACTGAGAAAAGGTGGGCAGACTTGTTGCCCTCCATTTTGGTGGCTGTACATTTTGGGTTTACCCTGGCGAAAGAGTGTGGTCACCTTTTTCCCACATGTGGGGGGACGGGTCCTGACTGCTGTGCTTCAAACAAAGCTACCCACCCTTTTTATAGTCCCAGGAGGGGGTGCTGGAGAGCTCTACTTCTGGTGACTCCCTCATTCTCCTGGGGTTCTTAAGAAGAAGAAGAAATATCATTTTTATAGCGCCTCAAGATAAAAATCACGAGGCGCTTCACAAAAACAAAAAATATAAAAAAGCATTTAGAAAATGTTTAAAAATATATTTAAAATGAGCAAAAATAGACAATTGGGATTTAAAAGAAAAAAGGTTAAAAAGAGAGTGAACAGGAAAGGGAAATCAGTGGATCCTGAGGAAGGTGGAATAGGTGGGGAGAGCAGAATAAAGAGAGAGGGGTGAAGAAGGTCGTACAAAAGCCAGCTTGAACAAGTGAGTCTTCAGCTGCTTTTTAAAGGAGACCACCGAGTCCACTGATCTCAGGCTCAGGGGGAGAGCGTTCCAGAGTCTGGGGTCCTCAGCAGCAGATGATCTGTCACCTTTGGTCTTTAGCCTGGTACTGCACAACCAGTAGGCTTTTATCACTGGACCTCAGGGACCTGCTGGGGGTGTAGGGACTGAGAAGATCACCAATGTAAGATGGTGCTTGTCCATGTAAGGCCCTATAGACCAGAACCAGGATCTTGAAATGAACCCTGAAGTTGACTGGCAGCCAGTGAAGCTGGAGGAGAAGCGGGGTGATGTGGGTGTGTTTGGGAGGACTTGGTCAGAAGACGAGCACAGGCGTTCTGAACCACCTGTAGATGGTTCAGGGAGGTTCTGCTGAGACACGTGAAAAGAGAGTTACAGTAGTCTAAGCGTGAGGAGATGAAGGTGTGGAGAACTGTCTCAAGTTCAGAGCGGGACAGAATGGGACTCAGCTTAGCAATGTTCCTGAGATGGAAGAAGGAAGAGCAAACAAGAGAACTGACATGAGAATCCAGGGTGAGAGCTGGGTCAAAGGTCACGCCAAGATTCCTGACAGAAGGTTTGGTGTGAGAAGCAAGCTGACCAAGAGAGTCTCTGACTTTGGGAACCAGCTTGTCTGGGGCACAGATGAGGATCTCAGTCTTATCTTCATTCAGCTGTAGAAAGCTCCCACCATCCAGATTTTGACAGAGTCTAAGCAGGTGTGTAACAGCTGCAGCTTAGACATCTCATGGGGCTTAAAGGAGATGTACAGTTGGATGTCATCTGCATAAAGATGGTAGGAGATTCCTTTGAAGGAGCTCAGGATGTGCTGAAGAGGAAGCAGAGAGAGGAGGAAGAGCAGAGGCCCCAGCACAGAACCTTGTGGGACACCATGGGTAAGAGAGGTGGTGGAGGACCTAAACTTGGAGATGGCCACAGAAAAGGAGTGCTCAGAGAGATAAGAGGAGAACCACTCCGGAGCAGATCCTGATAGGCCTCCTACCCAGTCTCTCAGCCTCTGATCGGAGGGATCATCAACGTGGATGTTAAAGTCACCAACAATCACCAGTCTGGACAGCTTCACAGTGGAGAATAGAAAGTCACTAAACTCCTGAAGGAAAGCACTGTTTGGATAAGGTGGACGATAGACCACAGCACAGTAGAACGGGTCCTTACGCCCAACTTTAATCAGCTGCAGTTCAAAGGATGCAAAGTGACCAGAGGTTGTAGAGCTCATGTGGACAATGAGATCAGGAAAGGTGCGGTTGGGAGCAATGGCCCATCTTATCTTAATCAGTGTTGTGTTTTGTATTTGGACTCTCTCTCTCTCTCTCTCTCTCTCTCTCTCTCTCTCTCTCTCTCTCTCTCTCTCTCTCTCTCTCTCTCTCTCTCTCTCTCTCTCTCTCTCTCTCTCTCTCTCTCTCTCTCTCTCTCTCTCTCTCTCTCTCTCTCTCTCTCTCTCTCTCTCTCTCTCTCTCTCTCTCTCTCTCTCTCTCTCTCTCTCTCTCTCTCTCTCTCTCTATTATATATATATTATATATTATATATATATTATATATATATTATATATTATATATATATTATATATTATATATGTATATTATATATATAATATATATATATATATACACATACATACATCTATATTTATGTGTGTATAATATATATATATATATATATATATATATATATATATATATATACATATACATCATACATACACACACACATACATCTATATGTATGTATATATATATATATATATATACACACATCTATATTTTATTTATATATATATATATATATATATATATATATATATATATATATATATATATATATACATATACACATACATACACACATACATACATCTATATGTGTATATATATATATATATATATATATATATATATATATATATATATATATATATATATATACATACATATAGATGTATGTGTGTGTGTGTGTGTGTGTGTGTGTATACACACACACATCTATATGTATATATATATATAATATACACAAACATCCATATGTATGTGTATATATATATAATATACACATACATACATCTATATTTATGTAAATATATACACACACACATACATACATACACATACATCCATACATATGTATATATATATATATATATATATATATATATACACACACATACATCTATATGTATGTATATATATACATACATACATATAGATGTATGTGTGTGTGTGTGTGTATATATATATATATAAATATATATATATATACATACATATGTATGTATATATATAATATACATACATACATATATATTATATATTAATGTATGTATATGTGTATATATATATGTGTGTGTGTATAATAAAAAAAATATTTATTTTTAATAGAAAAACTACAGACCTATTGACACATTTTTATTGTTTCATTTCCCCAGCACCTGGAGTGCTACTGAGGAAGCCTCTGAGGTTTTAAATGTTCAAATGCTGCTAAGTGGATTTGGGTCTGAATGTCCTGCAGCTTTTTCTAGTAAATAAATGGTGAGACTGCTGATGAAGTAAAGAACTTAACCGCAGAACCTTCGGGTGTTCAAAGTGGCTATTAACAGAGTAAAGATGTGGATTTTCTTCATTAATCATGAGGAGAAAAAGATCAATGAGAACATTTCTATGCCCCTGGACATCCAGCTCATCTCTTTTTATGTTTTTCATTTCAGTGAATAAGCTGAAAGCTCATTATTTTAGTTGGAAATATTTTAAGTGTGTGGCTTATCGAAGAAACCCATACCTGTTTTAGTCAGTCAGCAATTTTTGTTTCTGGATATGATGATCAACTTTGCAGCTGTTTAAAATTTGTTTGACTCCAAATTGTAATTCTTTATGAAATATTTTGCTGACAAATGATTTCAAAGGTTTCACATAATGTGTACACAGTGCAGCTTCTCAGAAAGGAAACTAGCCACAGCCAGGGCAGGAGCAGTCATGTCCTTACCAGTGAGGGCTGAGATTTCCATGAGTGATTTGGGGAAGAGCCCAATGGGAACACCTGCTTCTCTCAAGGAGAAAGATTTGTATGCACTTGAGTGTCAGGCACCAAAGGCTCTATATAACATTAGCAAAAGATAGCTTGTTTTGTCTCTAGTGGCTGTTTTGGGAAAATGAGCCATTCAAAAGATAAAAGCAGATCCCTAAAATTGACCAAAACCATAAAACAAATTAAGAATGAAGACAATTAAGAAGAATTATGTCTGAAGCATAATTCAAGGAAAAGGAAAAGTCATGGTAATGGGTGGGGGTGTTTGCTTGCTTTGGTATGGGTACAACAGACTGAAACAGAAACATACAAAGAATGTTTTGTTGGACACGTGGGCTGTGTAAGACGCCTGTACTTAAAAGCATTTCTTTGCAAAACAATCAAATTTTGGTCCATTTGGTTCTCCATACCTCCCTCATTTCTGTAGTGTTTTGTCATTTATGGAAGATATCAAACAGCAATGACTATTTGGGGGTTTGGGGAACCAGAATGTCTGTACTGTGTTGTGTTACATGCAGGCCATAGCTGATTAGGCCAGTAGATGGTGGTCTTGTACCAAGGTGGGATCGCTGGAGACGCCATGGACGCAGCCTTGTATTCATGGCTCAGAGATAAAGGAGTTGCAGCGTGGACAGGATGTTCACTCTTATGTTCACTTCATTAATCCAGTAAAACTGGCTACATAGTGCGTCTTAGTGCAGCAGCTGCTGCTGGTCCAGATTACTCCTAGGTCTGGTGCCAGTTACACTTTCTGTGCTTAAACATATTAGAAATGGAATATTTGAAATGCAATAGCAAGGTGACAACTTTCAGCAGCAGCAGAAGTAAGACCCACACATGCAAGGGCAGAACATGGTAACCCTACTCAGAAAGGCAACAGCAGGGATTTGAACCTGCACCCATCTTGCTCTGAGACAATGGTCCTACTAACTGTTGCTGGCCATGCCCACCCATCCCTTAAATGGCTGCCATGAGGTGAGGAGCTTGGACACACAAGGACGGGCTCGGAGTAGAGCTACTGCTCTCAGTCATCAACAGGTGAATGGGGATTCAATGCTGATGCCCCTGTTGTGATGTCACAAAAAGGATATTTTCACACAACTTGGAGAAGCAAATGATTACTGAGACTAAAATATGACAGAAAACAGAGGGATGTTTTTTTAACCACCTTTTGGAGTGTTTAGGCAGTAGAGACACATGGCAGCAT